GCAAAGGAACCTAGTTGACACATGCCACCCCAAGCTCTTCTTTGTTTTGACTTTATCTACAAGTGAAGGAAATGTTCTGAACGTTTGGTGTCTTCTGAAGGCCGTATAAGCTCGTAAAGAGGCGATTTTTTTGTGGAGTGACTGAAAATATTGGATAGCATAGTGATTTAGATCACGTTTAGATTCAGACGCTGATCAGGGATTCTGATTGGCTAACCAGCATTGGACGAATTCGTTTCAAAGTTTTCAATACTAACGTGCCACAGCAAGTTCCGCAAAATGACTAAAAATAGAATCTTTTCTTTCTGCAGGCCATTGATTAAGATACCACAAGATACCGAACTAACCACAATACATTTATCCAAAATTCAAACACTGTAGGATATTACTGTATACAAACCTTCGTGCACCGTTTGCTGCTTTGTTTGTTAGTAGATTATAACGCTGTTGGCTGTTGTTTACTAGTATAGATGGCGGATATATCAAAGAAGTGCTTCATGTTTTTAATTTTCGGAATTAGGTAAGAAATCATCGAAGATTTTGAAAAAAAACTTAAAATTGGTGGGATTCCAAAGTTGAGAGTTCCATCTCGCCAATGACCGAATAGTTTGTGGCTTACCTCCTCCGGACATAACCTGGCTTGTTCATAGCGACACAGACTCTTTCAATTAAGTCATTGCGGCAAAGAAATAAACCTGTGATGATTACGGGTAAACCATTCTCACGGTGTACGGGAAACGAGTTCGAGAATGATATCGACGTAAACAAACTACTGGAAAAATCGACGACAGAGCTCATGCAACTTATAATCATGGGGCGACTATGTCCCACTACTGTTTAAGAAGTGCAAGGAATTATTATTGAAGGTTTTCTAAGTGGATCATTTTTTTTGTAAACCTTTATTCACAAAGCCACCCAAAATCACTCGCCTTAGCTCTCAGTTGTAATTTAATGTATCAATAAGTGCCATCCATGTCTTTTCGCGTTCCATGGTCAAGGTAATATATGCGAATTTATTCCAAGTTCGAAACACAAAAATTAACCTTTTACAAGCAGGGTCAATTTCTTTTTAACTAAAGATGATTCACTGATACCGACATTTCTTCTTAAACAAAGGTTAGTTTTGGACTTTTTCAATCTTCCATCGTTTCCCCAAAAGACACTCCTCTAGGGCATGTTGTTTTATTCAAGTTACACAAACAAAATAAACGAATTGTCAACGTTTACTTGTCAACCTTTCCCGAAAATAAAGGAAAATGCCCCTTAACATTTCCTATAGAGTTACCATGGTTTAATCACATAAACGAATAATAGTTATTTTTGGAGAATTCGTACAAATTTAACCGATATAGGCTGAAGGTAAAAATACAAATGTTTTAGATAGTTAATGTTGACAGAACCAAAACAAAGAAAAAACTCTTGGAAATATTTCTTGATTTTGTTTTTTTGGTAGAAAGATAAAATCAAGTAATAGAGTTTACTAGGAAGATAAAATATGGAAACTTTGGTAGATTGAAAACGAGAGTTTTAATGGCACTCGGAGGGCCTGGCTTTTTAAGGCAAGATTCGCGTATTCAGTCGAGCGAGCAAAACCTTCTAGCTCATTCCATTCATTCAGATTTCGAGGAGATCGAAAAAGAGAAAGAAAGCAAACGCATTTAAATCTAGCACAATGGAGTTTTCGTTTTCATGGAAAATCATTTCAAGTCGCGCGAGGCAGCGAGGATTTTTACAGAAGAGTTTTTTTTTTCGGTCAATACACCATCCAAAAACAGTACAAGTTTTTTAGAAAAATTTCTTTCATTAATGTCCGTAAACTGAGCATAAGATCAGTGCCAGATTGCGGCTCAGAAAGTTTCCCAGGCGCAATATAAACCTGCCTTGTAAGTCCATTAGTAAATATTGGTTTTTGTGCAGGAAATTCGCGACCATAGAATCACACGCTTGCCAGCTACTTAAGTCGATAATAAGGAAATGTTCCAAACAAAAGAAGAAAAAAGGCTGTAAAGATGATAGTGGGAAAAAGAGATGGCCAGGTACGCTGTGGTGACGAAGTTAATGCTTCTTAAAACAGGAAATTTACGAGAAAGTTACTGAATGACAAAAGAGCAAGAAGGTTGAATGAAGATTGGTGTTAATGCGACTCTTATCTGTTCAGTACAGTGACCAGATCTCTGTTGTATCCATTCTTTAAGCACTTGTGCCCTAATTTACATTGATTTTTTCCGAGGCAATTTATCAAATTAAGCCGTCCAGCCACCTAGTGAAACCTCGAAGTAAACGTTTTAGCTTTCTGTACTCGCCGACAAGTTTTGAAAATAGAATATCTCAAAGGAAGCTAAATCGTCGACTCAGCTCAGTTGCATACTCTGGTTTTATCTATCCCCCATTAAAAAAAAAATCAATTCTGTAAAGAATAAAGAATGAAATACGATGACAGAAATTTATCCTTGTTCATATCGGCAGGGTAATGTTGGTCGTGTTTTTTGATTTGAGCGGGTTTCCATTTTGATATGAGTCAAACATTGCACATTCGTGATCGAGTCATTTACCTTTCATGTCCCCTACTGCGTTTGATTCTTATCTCTCGGTCACCTTCTCGATCTTTCTTATTATAATCTTTGTTTAAAAAATCGTTGGTAATCCACGATTATTGATTTAACTTCTATAAACGCAGAAAGTATCTGCAACAAGATCACTCCAAAGTGTTAAAGTCACACAGGACAAGATTAAAAAGGTGTAAATCTGAGTCACTCTATATCTTTATTTGTTTTTATCTCAGCTTAGATCGAACTCTACATGGTGTATCAGCCAACTGAACTGGAGGGAACACTCTGCCAACCAGCACATCTAATTAAATTACTGTTCCAGCTATTGCCTATTTGGCATCGTCGGTCTTGTAAAGAACTCGACGCAAATGAAAGGGAGCAGAGATTTTGCGTCCAAGAAAAATATATTAAATTAAATTAACATGCAAACCCGAGCGATTTAACTTCTGTCTGCCTGTTGTACAACCTTCTAATTTGAAATGAAAGCTGAGTTTTTTTGGGACTTCTTTAAGTCTTTTCATACCCAATATATTAATCTTTACCCTGATTTCGGAGATTTCATCTTTTCTATATCTCAATTAGGGTTCCCAAATCACTGAATATAACTGCCTTTGTTACAATACATATCCTGTATCCTCTCCAGGCATAGAGCTTAAGCTACCAAGTTTTTGCTTATTCATTTATAGTGATCAGAAACTAATTTTGAGTCCTTGTTTCCATTTGCGGTAAGGCAGCGACACCATATTTATCACTCTTTGTATACAACAAGTTTTTGTCACTTTGAAACAATCTTCTTTTATGATTTCGTGGTAAAATAAAAATCAAAAGTTAATATAGTGCGTGTGAAATTTGCAGCTTTGTAATTTGGAAACACAATGGGCAAAATATAAAATTTACGTGGCGGGCTAAAAATGGAAAGTGCTGAAAATTGATAAAAAGTTGTCCTGTTTAATGCGAAAATGTTCACTTTTAGGCAGGCGTTTTTGAAATTAAAATCACCGAATTAGGAAATTTTAATCAATTCCTGTGTGTTCATCTCACAGAGGTCGATGAAAAAGTTTGCCGACTTCATTTAACTGGCCAGAAAGCTTTCAATAATGAGTCACAGTGTGGGTACCTTTGTCCACAGTTAAAAGCTTTTGTTTCCTTTTCTAACAACGTACTGATGGAAATATTTCAAGTGGTGATTCAAACCTTCGAAGGGTTTTTCATTAAAATTTGATCAGATGAATTCTTTGCTTAGAATTAAGCCCGAAACAAGCTGACGTCTTCCGGATGAAGTTTTGTGTCCTTTGAAACAGACGAGCAATCATTTGTGAAGTTTTCAAGAAGTTTTTGGCAACTGTAATAAGTGTTTAACTCTTGCTTTTATTTTTTTACATAATTCGTGTTTACCCCATTTATCAGAATCATACCCATTTATTCACTTCTACCCATATATAGTTCAAAGGTGCAACTTTTTATCTGCCTTGCTCGGAGAAAGATTTGTTCAAATTGATTTTTTTAGCTTTTGTATTTGTGTTCAAGTCGTCATTAGTAAGTCGTGGTGAGAGAATCTACCGGAATCACTATTCTAAGTCCTTGATGGAGATAAATCAATTCTTCTGTCACTCTTTTGTACGTTTTAAGTATGTTAATATTATATGAACAACGAGCTAACTGAAACAGGATGGAGGAACAAAGAAATTTCTACCAGAAATGGAAACAAGTCCCTTTCATTTTATGATAATACCACATAGGTTCAATATTTCAGTACACGTCTTCGAAAAGCGATCAAGTCATTGCGTGGGGCAAACTTTCCAATTATATATTGTTTAAAATGTGTTGCTTTTTGAAACCCCTCTAATAAACAATATATTAGAATGAATCTGATATACCAAATAGGTTGAAATATTCTGTGATATTCTAACAACTAGTCAATAGATTTCTTAGTCTTATTTACAATAAAAATATTTCGAAGAAGATATTGCTTTGCTGGCACTATATCTTGACGTAATGGCCTCTTCCTCTTGTTAATTTTTTTAAGATTCTGCTCTAAAGAGTTTAACTCAAATAGTACTTTCAGAGTTCTTGATAAAGAAAAATTCCTTTGTTCCATTTTCGGTGAATTTTTGCCACATTGGTTTCTACTTTTACGCCCAACCCAATTAACTAAACGCAATGTTTTCAAACAATTGACGTCTTTCTGTTTTTCAGCAGTCTATTTGAGTTAAGAAATGGCAACGTGATTAATCTGGAGAGCGCTACAACGCCAAATATAACTCATTTCTGAAATCAAAGGCATTTATAGTTCTGGCAAGGGCGTTTGGTTTTTCTATACCCTCCTGTTTTCACATGATTAAACCGGGCCATGAAAACGAGTGTTTACCCCAAGAACTACACAGTTATTAAGTGTGTTTAAGACAATGTTTAATGTGCGGTGAAAAGCACAGATCAACAAGGAAACCGCAATTAAAAATGTACTGAGCTTTATTTAACAGTCAGAGAGCCTAAGCGCATCTATCTCCTAAGGTGTTACATGCCGGTCTAAACTCTAGCGTCTTTGTTGTTTGTTCGATTGCAGCTGTGGCTTACATTATATTATTGTTTCGCTCACTATTAGAAGGATAACAGCGCAAATAAACTTCATACTTTACAATACCATCAGTGGCATCAGAATTCCACGAAAAACTACTCTATGCATTCATTTACATGTTGATAATTCCGCTTTGGCAAATAAATTTGTCTGCACAATGAAATAACTAATTTTCTTCATGAGACTCTTGTCAACTTTGCAAATGAGTTGTTAGTCGCCTCCAGCTATGAATGAGTAAATTAACAAATCTGTAATTATTTATATATCGTTTTCTTTGTCTATTCCTCCTTAATTTATCGTAAAAGTTCCTTTAGCCTTAAAAGAAACTGTTTACATAACTGATATGTATTCAATTCATTCATCAACTTCCCTATAACAGGAAAAATTCCTTAAATTCGACACAGTCAAATACTCTGGAACTATATTTTACACTCTCTCAATTTCGACTCGTTTCGAGCCATTCTAAAATGCAATAGATAAATTCAAGATTGATTACAATTTCTCTTTCGTAAGCGTTCATTCCTTGCAATGCCTTTAAACACTGTTCTTTTATTGTTCAAAATCTCTGAGATTTAACAGGCGAATGACCTCAGCTGGTGGGAATGGTTACAACAGTTCCATGATCAACTGATCGACATATTCCACTGAACTTCAAAACTCTTTTCCAGAGAGTGAAAATGTGTAAATTAGCAGGCAAGCCTGTAATTGTATGGGAAGATCAGTCGAGTCGGCTCCGATACGTGAAACCGATCAAAGGCGGGGGAGGAAGGCAGGTAGTCGCCAGAATGAGTCGCGTACGAGTTGTACACAAGACTTGGCTCAAACGCTCGAGGATATACCGGCATAAGCAGTCCTGCCTCGCGCTGTCCTCTGTCAGGTGCCAACAGGCTGGCCATGTCAAATGATTTGCGCTTTTCTTGGTAGAAGCCCTCTGGTTTTTCAGTGGTGGTGGTAGCTTCCTCGTCTTTCTGGTCCGCATCGCACTCCGTTGTTGAACAGTCGACAGTGAGTTCATCCTGATCTTCGGAGACTTTTTCCACCTCTTCACTACTCTCAGCTTTGCAGATTACAACATCGTCTTTGGACTCGTTGGATGCTCGTCGGCTCTTGTGTGATCTTTTCTGTATTCTTCTTCGCCTGAAGTCGCCGCGTCGGAAGTCGTCATAGTACAGAGAACTGATTGCCCAGAAATGTCCTTTCCCATTTGGACTCCGGCCGGCTTTGACAAAGCAGTCGTTTAGGGAAAGGTTATGACGAATACTGTTTCTCCAGCCAGTCCCCTTGTTTCTGAAGTAAGGGTAGTGTGTGAGGATGTAGTTGTAGATGTCGCTCAAAATAAGCTTCTCTTCGGGCGAGCTTAAGATCGCCTCGGCAATGAGTCCGATGTAAGACTGACTGGGCTTCTCCTCGTCGGAAGACGAAGCGAATCTGAACTGGTGAAAGCGTTCTTTCCAAAGAGATGGATACGCCGGTGCTCCGAAAGAACATACGGGCCAAAGTGGTGGACTGGAAGGCTTTAAAACGTGGTCCATGGCCGCAGGGCTAAAAGTTGGAGAGTATGGTCCCCAAACGGACCAGAAATGGCGAGAAAAAGGCACGCTTGAGTTGCGATTTCTCCAATGGAAATCATCTCTGTCGCCATCGGCCTCACTCGTTGGTGATTTTGGAATCGAGACGGGTGTAAACGCCGAAGCGCCGGCTTCGGTTGACGAAATCATGATGGAATCGAAGTTTGGCCTGAAGTGATGTTTCTGGTGTTAAGTTTAACGAAATTCTGAGGGTGCTGTGTCGTTTCTTGCTTATGTAGTTGAGAGGGCGATTGTTGTGATGCGTCGCGATTGGCTCGCCGTGTATCAATACACACTAAATAATGGCGCTGGTATTGTATTATCTGTGGCTGGTTGAACTTACTTATATCACGCCTGCATCCAAGGAAACAGCGATATCATCACGTAGACATGAAGAACAGATACTACCGCCCTCCCACTACAAACTGTTTCCGTGTTCGTGTAAATATTTTGATCAGCAATGCTCTGAACGCAGGATGTCGCAACGAAGGGGCTTGGTGCTGCACGAATAAGTCTTGTAATCGAATTCTCTCTCGTTTAGACAAGCGTTAATTAGCCTCCACGCCTCCATTGTTTGCGGTTGGCAGTAACAAGGGTTATTCATCACCCCCACTATAATTTCCTGTCAAAACACAGCTATGTTTGTTATTTTTCCTAGCGGGTGGCACATGGAACTTCCATTTTCTTTACGGTATTCCAGGCGATCCAGTGAGCAGTTAATACCATTCTGTCACCGAGGTGGTCTAGTTCATTCGAAAGCCTCGAGGAATTACCCACCCATTTTCTGAGCTGTTCAATTCCAGCAACGCTTTTTTTCGCTTGTGACACAAACAAAGCAATTAATGCTCAGCGAAATATTGACCAGCAATTTCTTTATATGCTTACTGCACATTTAGGAGGTCGATCGATCGGAACGCAGTAGTTTAAATAATCAGTTGTGTTTTGAATTGATCGAGATGGTTAATGAACTACAGATAACCTTGAACTGAAAGACCAAAGAAAACTCTGGGCAGGAAATTCAACGCATTAAGGTAACACGCTAAACCTTCTTTTCTGGAGTACGTTTTTCCGGCTTTTAAAAAGTTATGTTTTTTGCCTCATTAAAAATTCAGACAACTTCTAGATGAATATTCAGCATAACACGATTTCAGTGGCTTAAACGATAACAGAGACCGCACCAGAGGTGACTGAACCTTCTGAAGCGACTAATCGATATCGTTGTGTTATTTTGCGTGTTTTCAATACACCATTAGCAAGCGTATTTAAATAAACCGTGAAGGCGTATTGTTCTTTTTGCTTTTCCGTGGGATTCAAAACGTGAAACCCAATTCGCTTCTATTGTTAGGTATGCGCTAAGATTAACAACCTTTTAACCAGAATGGATTTTTTGATATTGGCTCGCTGGCGGCATAAAAACAAATATTTGCTTGGATGGAGTAAGTGCGCTTTGGAAAAATCGCTTCAGAAAAGTTGACAAATTTTCTCACGGTAGCGGCGTAATAAAACAATTAGGTAATAATTGGTCAAACAGGGTACAACTTTACGACATTTTACAGGGTCATTTCCAGACACTCCTCTACACTAATTACCGAGGAAGACTGGACACCTTGGCGTAAATTGCGTTTATTCATCCCCTGAAAAAAATTCGTAAAAAAAATAAAGAACAAAAGTCTGCTAAAACATTGCATTCAGTTATTGCTTCTCGGTTGTGTTCAAAAATAACTCTCCAGGAATATTTTTAAAACCCGCAAAGTAATTAGTACTAGTATTAAGACCTAAATTTAGCATTGTGACAATGAATGCTTGGTGATATTACGCTTTCTATTTGCATTTGAGTTGAAAGGGTTTCGACATACTCCGAGGGGTCAAGCCTCGCGGATATGATATCCTTTAGTAATGTGTTCATTACACAAAAGACAAATTTGAGTTAAGTTATAGTTGACCATATATTGATCTCATTCCCTGAACCTTGAAACAATTTCCTTGATATGTTCAGTGGAAAAAACGAACCCCTTTTGTGAACTGATCATGAGGCGAGGTATGCCTCGAAATTTTGCTGAAAAAAGAGGAGGCAATCAAAAGAACTATTTACTCTGTCGCAAGCAAATCGTCGGAAGACATTGATTTTTTTTTTTTTCTTTATGCATAGGTATATATTGAGCAAATTTTCATTATTAATGGTTACACATAATTGCAAACTTTTTAAAGGTATTACAAAATTGTGTACTTTCAAGTATATTGTGGAGTTTTTAGCATTAATTCGTTTTCTTGTTGACATCAATCTGAAACGTGCTTCGAGCACGTATCACGAACGCAAAGTGGTGAATAAAACTGTGTATTGCCTCCATAATAGTATGAGTTTATTTTAATGTCATGCAACCTAACTGTAGATCAAACTATAATATTATAAGAGGAGAAATTAATGAGCAATCAAGAAATTAAATCAGGAGATAATAATTTTCAAAAAAGCCTGATAATGGTAACTTATGATTTTTGCATTTCGATTTCATTTACACTTGCATATCTGCGGTCATTTCTGAGAAATAATTACGTATCTCTCAAAGTATGACTACCTTTTTAGTTACATGTCTTAGCTATATTGGGTAGTGGATTGAAATGTTCAGTTGTTCTTTGGTAAGAATCTCAACCGTTCGTGGAATTTTCGAGAAGTATTCTTTTACTTTCGTGTGTCAGTTGTGTTTCAGTCTCAATCAGCCAATCAGAAAACAACAAATCCGATATCAAAACACGAAATCACGCACGGGGCCGAAGATTGGCACTGGTGAGGAATTAGAGATTGGTTACGTGCTGCAAGGAATTGTGAAAACGCACAAAACCTCGCCTGAAAAATCATCTTATGTAGAAGGCAACGAAACAAAAAGGATTGCTTATAGGTATCATCTCTTGTTATCCGCCTACTGTCGGTTTGCGGGTTTTTGAAGGTCTGCAGTTCCATAGAGGATCTTGGAACAAACTTATAGTATTCCAGAAGCCTCCCAACCTTTCTTGCAAGGATAAACCCCCGGAAACTCCCAGAGGGTCCACAGCTAAGTTTGCTTGTAATTTTATGGCCTGCGATTAGAGAAAGAATTAAGAAGATTTACGCCAGGCTATTTTTTCTACCTTTCAACTAATCTTTTGAAATCTCCGACTTGTTTTAAGTGCAACATCAATAAATAAGGAGAGAGAGAAATTCATAAAACCATGGCTGACTAGCATCCAGTTGCACGAATCAGCCCCACGATAACAATGCAAACGCTATCTTGATACAACCAAAAGTAAGTTTATATTAATACTAAGTAATGATTCACTAAGCAAACACACGGTATGGAATGTACAGAACTGAAACAGATGATTCGTGTCAATCCTTTTTTCTGAAGGACATTTCTCTTGACTTCAAATGAACTGTAAAATGGCTTCTTTTTTGCTCAATTGTCTCAATATTATTAACTATTTTTGTATCTCAGCATTGATTCTTCATCCAAGAACAAAAGAAGATTGGCTTTATTCAAGCAACCTAAATACTACTCTTGGTTCTATACTCCTGTACATGCCAACAATGGGAAAAAGTGAAATTGCGTCGGTAGCAACACTTGCCTCTTGGTTATTATCTTGGTTATTATTAACAGAAATGATCCAAATTACAGTTTTTATTGTGAAATAAATCATATATATGGGTTCCACTAAATCTTTCTCCTCCTCTGTACCCAACATCAGATCCTTCCACTCAATTTTGTGGTTTTTGCTTCCGTGCAGATAGCAAAAACTACACTAATCGTGTTGAAAACGATCATTGATGTGTTGTTTCAAATATTAGAACTTGCCGGCTTTTCCGGTTAAGAGCAAAACGTTCATAAGGTTCAGTCATTGGCTGCCAAGAATTGGCCCTAAGCCCGTTGCTGTCGTGCTTTTTTTCCTAATCATGTAAACAAAAATCACATGTTAACCGCCTTGCTTCTATTTCAATTTCTTGAAACTGAACACCCTTTTTTGATCACGCGTTAAAGCTTCTATGATCGAGTCTGCCGCATTCTTTCAATCTTTCTTATTCCTTTGTTCTTTTGTTCTTAAGAACTGTTCCTTCCTTAAATCATTTATTCGATATTTGTTTCATACCACTCGCTTTGCTTAACCGAATATCTGCAACATAACTTCATTTGCCACAGCTAACCAACCATAAAATCTCGTATATTACTGAATTTTTTTTCACTTCAAGACCACCGCTCTATCAAAAATCGTCCTCGCTTTTTTCGTACGTTTTTAGTCTTGGAGTAAAAACACTATTGTTACAGTTAATAAGGTACTTAAGAAAGTTCTGGCAGTTTTCCCTATTAAAATAATTAAATAATGATGAACTTGAAATTAAGTTGTTTCAGCGCTGTTTACCATAGTTCCATACACGCTACCTCAAGATAAACCCCTAAAATTAAAATAAACAGCAAACCATTGGTAACAGCTTAACGTACGTCATAGTTCTTCAACTTGTTGTGCCTCGTGTGATATTTGTTTCTTCTAAAGATAACCGTCCTTATTTATTTGTATATCTATACATGTAAGCGTCAGCGAAACGCGAAGCATATTGCAATTGTCAGTGACGCATTTCACGGGGTTCTGTTTCTAAATATGGGGCATTTCCCATATTTAGATATCACTGATATCATTAATATCTGCAAACATTCAAAATCGCTTTCGGATCTGTAAACGAGCAAAAACTGTTTTTCGTTCGAATGTGATACGGGTGTAGGCTGATCAAATATAACCACGTGTTTGTAAAGCTGTGTCAACCGATGGCAATTTGTTTTCCACCAACAGAAACCTGACCTTGCCTTGCACTTCGAATTTTTTTCTTTTAAACAACATTTGTAAAGTCTAAAATAAAAGATTTTGCGTGAGGTATTCCAGTTCGGTTTTCTTTGCGATATATAGAACGCGCGCAATTCTCGATTTGGATTTTTGGCTGCAGTTTCCTTACCAATACTTGTATTTACGTAGTTACTTGTAAACTTACGTCGTTTGAATAAGATACTTATATTTATAATGTATAAAAGTATTTAGACATAAACTTCTACTAGATTGACCAGCCACTCATGTAGGCTAATAAATCTTCAAATAAACCGAAAACGACCACAACATTCGGCTGAAAAATGCATCTATAATTACACTAATAGCTTAAAACATCTTGACATTCGTGAGTAATTTCTGCGGCTTTTTCGATCGATCGATACTGAGGAACTTGCACGTCTTGGAAAAAGTGAGTAGATCAGCTTCCTAAAAAAGAGCGATTGAATTTTTTGTTGAGTGCTTAAATATTTCGGTATCCGGCGAAGGTAAGTTAATACAGCCATGAAGTTATGGAAACTGAGGAAATTTAATTCAGTTTGCTTCAGGACCGGCCTTCGGAAAGTGTATTGCATGGCTTCCTTTTAACAACGAACACTCCTCAGTGGCGTGGGAAAGAGTTCGTGTAAACACTTTGTTGAAAATTAAGGCTCCATTTCGTCTCTCCCATTTATCCCAATTCGCTCCCGGCCAAAGCCTGAACTCGCGTTTGAGCAAGTGCAAGCTAGTCATATCGCGGTGTGGTATAAGGTGATATTAGTTTAAAAAAAGACTCAAGATATTGCTGTAAAATCAAAAATTCCATGATGTGTGAAAAAAACGTTGTCCAGCTAATTTACCGGTTCACGTGTCTTTGTTTTGTTTACTTACTTTGTAGTTGCCATAGCAAAGAGTCGCGTGGCCAACTCCACATGCCAAGAAACTAAACAATCTGAAAACAATCTTGCAACTTCTCATTTTATAAGTAGTCAGTGATGTCTAGTGAAGATTGAAACCAAAAGTTGGCGTTAATTGACCAGGGGAATTTG